TCTAGGCATCGGGGCATTTTCAGGAGTACAAGTACTCCTGAAAATACCCTGTATCGGCCCCGATACCGGTACTAGCATCGGTATTCGGACATCCCTATGTTATTCCATCTCCATGTACTTGTACACTGAATGCATTTGGCATTAAATGAGAATCTGTTACCTCCACCCAAAGGTCACACAATGAATTTACACAAAGAAAAACCAAACGCACACAAGATGTTTTTGAACAGATTATATTGTGTGAATACATAACAGTACCAGGAACATCAGCTTCCAATTATTGAGTTACAAGTATAAGAATATAGTTATCTGCTGTTAACCCCATCACTGTTAAAAATGGCATGCACTAATTGATGACATGTGCTGCAAGCTTACAGAGCAATGGCAGATTAATACTAAAATCTAGCTCTCACCAGGCATGGAGATGTAAGAGTTTTCATGGGGATTTCAGCCCTTTTCAGATAATCCACAGCAAAGAATATGGATACATATACTCAACACAAGGAAGAATACCTAAAATATGGCTCTAAAGAAAGTAGAATTATGTTCAAAAAAGTCAACAGTTAAAAAAATGTAATCCAGGCATTGCTAAAATACTCCAGATCACCCCAGTGCTGTGTCCATGCTGTTATTATTTTGATATCTTCCTTTCTCCATTTTGAATAGGTCATGAGGTATTCCTCACCAAATCCAATTTTTTTTTCACAGGTCCCAGGAGGGTCCAGAGTTCGTGATGTCATCACCACCTGCACTCCTACCATTTCTCTCCAGGAATGGTCCCTACAGCCCAGCACCCCAAGTCAGTTTGGTCAGGTGCACTGGATGCACATAAGAGTGAAGGTATACAAAATCAATTTTGGGTCACACTGTATTATGTTTGGGTAGTAATAATAGTGTAGTGTCTGGTTTTCCCTTCATTGCCAGTTTGATATGATTATTCTGCTATATAAATTCAAATCTATTTTGTATTACATTTCTGAGATACAAGTAAAATACCAACTATGCTCATTTTGCTACTATCATTTTTTTAAAACCAAATTGACAATAAAACAAAAAGTCTCCTAGGTAAAAAATGTACCATGCAAAAACCTTAGTGGAATCTTTCAAAGGCTGAGTATCCCTCTTTTCTGAAATGACATTATAAAGGGCTTAACAAAGCATGTGAAATGAAGTGCACAGATATAATAAGTGGACTATATCTGTTACATGGAGTGTACAAAGACAAGTTATCCATTTCTGCATCGCCAATAAACTGCAGTGCTGTCATCTTTTACAATATACTAGGTTTTTGGTACAAATTACAATCACAGATATTGAAACAATTTACAAGTGAAGCACATTTTAGGTTTTCATCACTTAAGCAGTTTTCATTTGTTAAGGTCATAGCTTACATTTGCAGAGATCAAGCAACCCACTGGGCTAGTCTTAAAACAGTTCCACTTCTGCCAGAAGCCATATATAAATTATTTGTAGCAGCATGTGACACCCTGGCTGCCGCATCCAAAACAGGTGCAATATAAAAAGGCAGCGGGTCAAGTGACTACGCACTTATCTCAGCTAGTCATCATTCCTAATATTCTGCCGAGACCATAAAACCCCTTTGTCTTTTCCCATCTCTAAACAATTTATGTGGTTTCATTCCATTGAAGATTAACCATTAAAGAGCCATTTCAGGCAATAACATCAAAATAGCTTTATATCTGAAAAGAGTTGACCCGCACACATCTGCATTGAGGATGTTAATAAAAAATTAAATTTCAAACATTTAAGGAGTAGGATAACAGACTACCTGATTAACAGATTCTTATATCATTTGGCATAAAATAAACAAAAACATTTACAATGATCTGACAAACCGGTATGTGCAATGTGTACAAAAATATTTTTTCACTGCGGGTATATTTACATATATAACAAGAAGCTATCCTCTTTGGCTGCCACATTTGGCAAACATGGATCAGAATTATAGTGCATAAAAACGTTTGCTATGAAAGTTTACAGACATTGTAGTGTAGTATATGAAGAACAACACAAATCAATTTTGCATGCCACTGACTCTAGAACAAACATTTATAGAAAGAGTTGTGAAGAATGGCAAGTATGGCTTCTAATTTACAATATTCTTTTTCCGACGACTGTTTGCAACATTAAAGCTCCTATGATCTACATTTAAAGCAACTGTTGTGAGAAGCCAATAGTATATCTGTACACTAGAGAATAACCACCTCACCCAGTTTGTAATACAAATATCCACTGAATTGACACAGATTTATAGTATCTGGTTCAGCATTCAAAATGGCTACTGTAACATGTGTATAATGGAAACAGAATCATGTGAAACTGGTTCCGCTTTCAAAATGGCTGCTGTAACGCGAGTGAACCCTCACGTGTTAATAAAATTACCACATAACTGTTAGGGTAAACATGTGAGATGTGTTGACTTACACGATTGGCACACATAAAAAAAAAGTTATGGTCTATATTGAATAATAGAGAACACTGGGTGCTAGAGGATACTCAGGCAATCCAAGCAGTTACATGGGAAGAGTCCCCTAACCTAGCCATTAACATTTTTTTCTCATCTTTGGGCTATTGTTCTCTGGGCTATCACACTTTCATTATTCTGATGTTGTACTCTGGGCTATCACACTTTCATTTCGCGCAACATGTTTAGAAATCGCCCCGCCTTTGCCGAACCCGAAGTTCCATTGGCCCAATTGATGTCTGGGTAATTGAAGTCACCCATCACGACTACATTGCCATCATTGTTGATCTGGAATTAAGTTTCAACATTCACCAGGAACGTACCATTTGTAATATGCCTACTGCTATATGACCTATTGCTTTGTTGCTCTGCATTGTTAATACCATCCAGCATCTGATGTGAGACTTTACAGAAGATGACAATTTTACCTTACTACATGGGTCACATACTAATAAATGATTGTGTAGTGCTAGAGAAAGGTTTATCTATACCAAAGCACCACAGAACTTGGAAAGAAAATCATATTAGCCCTGGCATGCTGTCAACTTCTGGACCACATATTGACTGATGGCAGCCCATTCTTACATAACCAATGCTTGGAGTTTGTCAGAATTTTTTTTGTGTGTGTGGGGGGGGGGATTGAGGATTGATGTGTTCTCAAATGGGATTAAGGTCTGGGAGTTTCCTGGCCAGGAACCCAAAGTTTTAACCTTTTGTTACCCAAGCCTCTTATTTATCACTTTTGCCTTATAGGTACTCCATCATGCTGTAAAGGCATTGTTCGTCACCAAACTGTTCTCGAATGGTTGGGAGAAGTTGCTCTTGGAGGATGTTTTTTACCATTCTTTATTCAAGGCGGTGTTCTTAGGCAAAATTGTGAGTGAGCCCACTCCCTTGGCTGAGAAGCAACCCCACACATGAATGGTCTCAGGATGCTTTACTGTTGGCATGACACAGGACTGATGGTAGCGCTCACCTTTTCTTCTCCGGGCAAGGTATGTTCCGCATGCCCCAAACAATCGGAAAGAGGATTTATCCGATAATTACTTTACACCAGTCCTCAGCAGTCCAATCCCTGTACCTTCTGCAGAATATCAGTCTGTCCTTGATGTTTTTCCTGGAGAGAAGTGGCTTCTTTGCTGCCCTTCTTGACACCAGGCCATCCTCCAAAAGTCTTCGCCTCACTGTGCGTGCAGATGCACTCACACCTGCCTGCTGCCATTCCTGAGCAAGATCTGCACTGGTGGTGCCCCGATCCCACAGCTGAATCAACTTTAGGAGACGGTCCTGGTGCTTGCTGGACTTTCTTGGGTGCCCTGAAGCTTTTAACAATTTAACATATCCTTGCCTGTGGATCCCTTTTTGTGCAAAGCAATGATGACTGCACATGTTTCCTTGCAGGTAACCATGGTTAACAGAGGAAGAACAATGATTTCAAGCACCACTCTCCTTTTAAAGCTTCCAGTCTGTTATTCTAACGCAATCAGCATGACAGAGTGGTCTCCAGCCTTGTCCCCGTCAACACTGACACCTGTGTTAACGAGAGAATCACTGACATGATGTCAGCTGGTTCTTTTGTGGCAGGGCTGAAATGCAGTGGAAATGTTTTTTGGGGGGATTAAGTTCATTTTCATGGCAAAAATAGAATTTGGAATTAATTGCAATTGATCTGATCACTCTTCATAACATTCTGTAGTATATGCAAATTGGCATCATACAAACTGAAGCAGCAGACTTTGTGAAAATTAATATTTGTGTTATTCTCAAAACCTTTGGCCAGGACTGTACCTGGCAGCTGCAAAAATACTGTAACTTGTGGCATTTGGACTCAGATTTATCTTTCTAGTACAACAAATTAAAGAAACTACACTATAGGTTACAGCACTTTTAAGCAGTTACCAGAGCAGCAAAATATAATGCCAACATTTTATTTCACATATTTTAAACCTATTGAAAGCTGCAAAAGCATTATCACACAACTTGCCCTTCCATGGAATGTTTTCTTATTTAAATTCTACGTTTACGTAATCTCAGACTGTCAATTCACTTGATATAGCTGGTATAAATAACAATGTAAAACCATGGCTACTGCTTTAATGTTAATTGCATTAACGTTCAAAAGTATTACTGGTTATCACAGTACTTGTATGCATTTCTGACTAGTACCACTTACATAAGATAGCTAGTACCAGATGTGAAGGTACATGTTTAGTCGTGTTCATTAAGCGTATGCTGACACAGCACACATAGTAACAAGTGAATCCACTTTACTGTGAGCCTATGACAGTAGCGTTGGAATTAGTTACAACCGTCGTTTCTCTGTAGTTCAGGAGATCACGTAATACGTGACGATGGTCACAGTCAATGTCACAAGTGACTCTTGATCTTTTAAGAAAATAACTCTAGAAGTGCTCGTTTTTTGACCAATTCAAGCTACATAGTAGTCGCCTCTCTGCACTTCAATGCAGTGGCATTTTTTGCATTGGTCCACTCAACATTTGTAAACAAGCCTATTATAGCACTTTTGGCCATGGAGTAAATTCTGAGGTAGTCCACACAAAGTCAGCTGACTTGCAGATTCATTTGGTATAATTAGGTTGTTTCCTTGTAATCACCAATAAATAGAGTCCTGCTTAGGTCACAGTCTTGGTCATATGATCTCAAGCAAGGTCTTGGCATGGAATGCTCTTCTGGCTTGATTGAAGATGGCCCTTCATTTCTTAGTAAGGTTTTCTCATTACCAACTACAGAATGGTGGTATAGGTGAGGGTGTGGTGCAGGCATGTTGCCATCTTTCTTTGTAGACCAGTTTGGACAAAGACCCGAATCTGTAGGTTTGAAAACAGAATAGATCATCTTGCTATAGCCTGATACAAAAAAAATTTTAAATTTTACTATCATATGTACATTGAATGGATTACTTGATTAAAACCTTTTACAAGACTATTCTTCCAAAAATGTCTTATAAACAAGATTTACAATCAAAGACAAAGAAAAGCACAGATTGCTTACCACAGCTGGGTTTTGCACTTTCCTTCCTGTCATAGTTGTTTAGGAACGCAGACATATCCCTCTCAGTAGCAGATGCTCCCACCTCAAGAGTGTGAGACAGGAAAGTCTCTTTTGGATTTTGTGCCATAAAGCTAGAAAAGGTATGATCCAATGAGTCCTCCTCCATACTGTATGTATATGGGCAATATTCTCTAGTCCGTGAGTAGATATTAGCATTGTCATAACAATCTGAGCAGATCATATGTTGCCCAGCACCTACAAATATAATACGGAGAAACAAAGGTTAAAAGGTACCCTACTTTACAAAACCGCTTCAACGTTTTGTTATAAGACTCCATACATTAACATATTTACTTTAACAATTTAGTAAGGGAAGACTGCATGGCGGAAATTGATTAAAACAGTAGAGTCTGGTCACTTTGTGGAGTAGAGCTGCAACAATTATTCGATTACATCGATTAAAATCGACGATGAAAAACGTTGTCAACATTTTCCATCGTCGATTCGTCGGCTAAAATTAAAATTTCACGCTCGCACCCGTTCGAGGCTCCATACACAAGTTATGCGGCGGACGCCACGCCCACCGCACAAGCCGGACACACGCCACCGCCGTCACAGATGAGTGAAGGGAAGGTGAGGATCTTCGAAAAGCGAGTAAGTAATTAAGCACTTGCATAGCCCTTATTGGGTGCACCGTAATGCATGATGGCTGGAAATCCTATCATCTGGAAATATCTCTGTTCATGACAACACCCCCCTTTCACCCCCCCCGCCCAAGTATAGCAAATTAGTTGATAAGTTGATAAAGGATTTGGTAAAGTTCACTTGGAGGGTTAAAATTATTTTGTGGTCTGTCCACACAGCCCTATCTTGTCTGTAATTCACATACCTTATAAGAGGGGGTTTTCATTACACACATCCTAGCAATATGCTTCTACCAAATGATTGCCTAATGCCGTTCCTTTTTTAATGTGAATATATTGAGAGATGTTATTTATACCTGATCATGCTTTACAACAATACATAATTACACTGTATTAGATGTTGCACCGCAAACTGAAAGAAACTGATAGGTCTGCCACATATTGGCAGATATTGACTTTGCTGAGAGGCGTTATTGATCTGCCTTTCTCATAAAGGAAAGCTTTACCCAAAGCTGGTATTTGTTTTGATTGCATGCCAAATTGCATGCCAGCTTATTGCATCTCTTAGGTACTCCAGTGGTAGCATATCCCAACCAGAATCCAGCCCTGCCTTACAGCTACAGTCATCACAGAACCAAGTAATGAAAGAATGCCTCCCTGGTGTATTTGCAGTAATGTTGATAAAAAAAAAATATTTGGGACAGTTTTCTCTAGGTCAGGGTGAGTCCACCGCACAAGCTGGACACACGCCTGCAGAGCATGCTGCCGCTGCAGCGACTTAAAAGGGTTCAGAAACAGGTAAGGGGGACCTGTTTTCATGTTTCCTGTTTAAAAAAAAAAAGCGGCACACTGCAGAATACCAGCAGCTATGAAGGAACACCAAATCCCAGCAATAATACATTATATACAACGCAATGCAGAATACCAGCAGCTATAGAGGAACCCCAAATCCCAGCAATAATACATTATATACAACGCAATGCTAGGATTTGTAGTTCCTCTATAACAGGTCAGTGGTAATCTGCATTGCGCAGTATAACCATTATCCAGGGCAATGGAGAATACCACCAGCTATAAAGGACTACAAATCCTAGCAATAATACATTATATACAACGCAATGCTAGGATTTGTAGTTCCTCTATAACAGGTCAGTGGTAATCTGCATTGCGCAGTATAACCATTATACAGGGCAATGGAGAATACCACCAGCTATAAAGGACTACAAATCCCAGAAAAAATACATTATATACAATGCAATGCAGAATACCAGCAGTTACAGAGGACTACAAATCCCAGCAATAGTACATTATACTATTGCTGGCATTTGTTGTATTCCTATAGAGCTGCTGGTATTCTGCATTGCGCCGTATAATCATTATACAGCGCACTGCAGAATACCACCAGCTATAGAGGACTACAAATCCCAGCAATAATACATTATATACAGCGCAATGCAGAATAACGCCATCTATAGAGGAATACATCAGATCCCAGCAATAATACATTATATACATAATAGTATAGTATAATGTACTATTGCTGGCATTTGTTGATTTCCTCTATTTCCTATATAGGGTCCAGGTATCGCCTCATGCTACCAGTACGGACACAGACTCTAGCCAAATGCAAAACTAGTAAAAAACAGTCAGAAAAGATGAGTAGGGAAACAAATGTCAGTGGCCTCCACCTGTAAAGCCATTCCTGTTTTGGAGGTTGTCTCATTGTTGCCCATCTAGTGCACCTGTTGCTAATTTCATTAACACCAAAGCAGCTGAAACTGATTAACAACCCCCTCTGATACTTAGCTGACCTGATCAATATCCCAGTAGTTGCATTGACTTGATGCTATACTCTGATTAAAAAGTGTTCCTTTCATTTTTTTTGAGCAGTGTATAACGGACTGCTGTGATAAAGCCCCTCCGGACTCGCCTCCCACCTAAACCTAACCACTGAACCATCACATTCTCAATCAATTAATTCCCACCCAGCTACCTCCTCATGCATCACTGGCCCCTCCCTTTTAGATTGTAAGCCCTCACAAGCAGGGCCCTCCTTACCATTTTGTCTTGAATTGTATTGTAATAATCTAGTGCAGATAGGAGGTTTTGTGGGGAACAATGACAGAGTGAAGGTGACCTTTTATATTGTTGACCTCAGAATTTTTACCTTTTTTTTAATACTTCAAATAAAGTCTATTTGAACAAGTGACAACTTACCTGGTACAGGATGACTGTCACGCATCTCCCCTGGATGCATGCCTCCACGAACTCCATATAATGGGGGAATTCTGCTACTCTGCATATTTGCTGCGAATTGAGTATTTAGGATTTCTGCATCTGCCTCACTACCAGTATCTACATATAATCCTTTAGAGAAAACAAATATCTTGTTTAAAACACACATTTAAGAGTCAAATACTTATTCTGAAAATAAATGTGCAATTTAACAAACTTTAAAGCTTCAAGTAAACACAAGTACATATACCAGGCCAGGTGTTTGGAAAATGTTTTTCAAAACTACTTGTCCAAGGACTAAAGCAGGGGGCCCAATCTACTTGTCCCTCATGAGCATCTACTTGTAATACAAAAAATAAGTTTAACCAAAACCTTAAGTAGGGATCCATATTTGAGTGGGTCATTTTCTTACCCTTTAATGCGAATTGTGCGTGTTAAAGAGCGCTCCTCCGGCTACCACAATACAGTGGAATGGGGGCAGCACTCAGAGCACACACATGTCCTACATGTGCGTTTATTCACATATTGATGCAGGGGCGGCCAGGGTCGGTTTTAATTATTTGTTATAATTTTTTCATGTATCACTATTTATTTTCAACTTAACTTTATTGCCAGCACAAAGGGACTAACAAGTCCCTATGTGATAGTGTTTGGAAGTGACAGGTTCTCTTTATGAAGCCAGCCCTCCAATACAGAAGATCGAGCACAGCACTGAAGGCTGCAACAAGTGATCTGGGCGGCTGTACAGCTACACTGTGGGGCCTACTTATAAAAAAAAAAAAACTCCATGTACATTCTGTGTGAATTAACCAGTTCTTTTTATGCTATTTTCTCTTCTGGTCCAATGTCCTTCAAATACAGGCAGTAGTAAAAATAGGTACATTCATAAAGAACACAGAGCGATTGGGGAAAATACCGCATTATGGCCACCAGATTGAACTGAGGATCATAAGATGAATACATCTTCGTAACTAGAGATACAATGTAACAATTCTAGCAGAACACTAGCAGGAATTGACAAATATATGTAACTATTGCTACTAAAGGGCTTACTGTACTAGCAATAGTTCATGCAATGCAATGGTTCGTGGATTTGACAGTCCGACTTCTGAATGCCGTATTTAATTGTCCGCCCCCGTATTATCATCATCCGATTCACTATGTTTTGGGGAATCTTTCCTTTGTTAACATAACTCTATTGCCTTACACAGCTGTCTCACTAGGCAGATACAAATATCTAATCTGGCTCCTATTCAGTAATCCACCCCATACGCCTTATTTCGCTTTTTAAAGGCAAGCAATAAAAATGTATTCAGGCAGAAGAGGGTAATGCATATAAAAGATTTATACCATCGGTTCCTTTGTGTACACATCCACCGGCTGTAGGCATGAGCTGCTGGTGACTGCCAGCTTCAGAATTACTGTATCCTTCTGGTGGCTCTGAGAGGGTTCCTTGGGAAGAAAGGTAGCTTGGAATGTCAGCAGGTAAATTCATGTCCTCTGTGAAGAGAGTGAGAAATTCTGTCAAATTCACAGGCACTGCTGTATAGTAATCTGCCATAAGCTAAATTATACATGATCTTCTACATACGTTCTCAAAAAAACAGAGTACAATATGAGCAAATAAAGATGCATCTGAATCAGTGATAGGCAAGAACATTAACTTCACGGACCCTGATAAATAAAAGAACCTTAGGTGAACAGCAGCCTTTCTAAAGCCAATATTTAAAAAAAAATGGGTGCCACACCACAAAGTGAGAGTCCAAACTGACTTTAATTGTTATCAATATCGTCACTTAAAAACATCCAACGCGTGTCAGGGGCAACAAAACTCCCCATGCATCAGGGCTTAGAAGAATAGAATGGGGACTCTATTTGATCTGATGCAAAACCTCCTTGAGGGCCTATTCACACGACGTCCGGATTGTGTCTGGACCAGAACCGTGCGCTCATGCACCCAAAGTGCATCCCTGTGTGTTTTATGGGCTACAGTTCACGTGCGCAGTCCATTCCGGTCCAGACAGAGAAAATGCTGCATGTTACATTTTGTCCGGTCACGCACGAACGCGTCAAAAACGCATAGCACCGCGTCTGTAGATCTGCTCCAGATCCCGGCCAGATCTGGTCCTGACATCGTGCGAACAAGCCCTTATGACTGGAAGTCTAACAATGTATGCAGCAGCAGACCGCTTCTGAACACATTGTTAGAATTACAATCCAAAAGGAGGTTTTACATCATATCAAATATAGATCCATTAAGTTACAGTTTTCTTTGAGTGTCTTCAAGTCCTATTTTTTTCTTATAAGTTCTGATGAAGAGAGAGTTTTGTTGATAATATTACAAACAAATTAAAGGCACTTTGGACTCTTTCACTTTGGAGTTTGGCACCCATTTGTATGTCTATACTTTAAAGTTCATGGTGCTCACTGTCTCTGAATCAATCAACTAGAGAGGAATGTATACAAGAAGCTATAGCAACTCCACACATAATATCTACAGGCTGCATGGTCCAAAAACAGTCTTTCTATATCTAAAGCAGCGGAGCCTAACAACAAAACATTAAGCCCCATAAGCAATGGTGCTTATAACACATTTTGCTCTGGCAGTTTAAACTTGCATTAAATTCAGGAGTTAAACCTTAAAAATACATTCAGGTACCTTAGCTACTAACAAAAAATTATCTTATGGGAGCGTGGCTTAGCTATGGCGGCGGACGTGCATGAGCTGAGCTATACACGGTGAAGGGAGATTGTTGCAGCTGATCTTTGTACTGGACCGTTCCTTGCCATGTCTAGGTGGAATAAAAGGTCGGGAATACCCCGCACCCCAAAACAGTCACGCTGATGCTCATTTTATATCTTTGGTTGGTTGGTTGGGGAATGTGTATTCTCACTGTCCGCCGAATAGTCTTAAAAAGGTATTAGGTATTACTTGAGACCCACACTGCGTATTTGAGATTGTTATTGTATTCTACCTACTTGTTTGCCAGTGTGATGTATTTCTTTTGATTGTCATTGCAGGTAATATTGCCTGTTTTTTACACGGCTATTTCTGTGGTGTTTAACTAGCTTTCCTTTATAAATAATTTGAAAAAAACAAAAATGTATCTTATTTGTGTATCACTTGGCTGTAGATCTTCAAGTCCTCTCTGAATTCATGCTGACACTGTCCTTCCTTCTGGAGGGTGGCTACTTTTGCTCCTCATGGTCCCAGCGTGTGTTGTAAAGCAGCCACCACTCCAAGCGTGGTCTTGTGATCCACTACAATCTCATGTTTAGTTTACTAATTTGTATTGAGTGATATCCAAATAAGTTACATTACTATTAATAGGGTACTTGAATTCATGTTTAAGATTTAACTCCTGAGTTTAGTGCCACTTTAAGATATGCACTTCATATTTAGATTTTTAAAAAAAAATAAGATTTTATTATGGTTTATCAATACAAAAGTACAAAAATACATAAGTACAAAGGGCAAGCAAGTCCGGATATCAACACAGTATCTTCGGGTGCATTTACATTCCATCTCTATACACATATATACAAGATAGGCATACATATACTCCTTCCGTCCATTAATCATGTCGTAAGCAGTGTTAGACACCGGGGCATCAGCACATTGTGAGGAGCATGAGCTTCATTTTGGTCACTGTGCATCCCCTACAGAAGGCATAGGATGAGGTGATATGACCGTGTTGTATCCCATCGGACCAGACATCACGAGACGTAGGGAAGAGGGGGGGAGAGTATACAAGCAACACAAGACCGGGGCAAAAGAGACAGAGGGGCGAACACGAAGGAAGAAACAATAGGGAAAGGGAAGCGCCATCGGATCCCACAACTCAGGCAAGGCCGCGGTGATATGAGATACTTATATTAGCGACGGTGCACCAGTCACTCCCCACCAGGAGAGATCCCAGTCCATTATAAGGCCAGAAAAGCCGCTGTGCCCATATACAAAATCCAAGGGGTCCATAAGACTGCACATTGAGCCTGACGCTCATGTAGTGAGGCCGTCAGTTCTTCAAAGCGCATAATCAGACACAACTCTGCAATCCATTCCTGCACGGTCAGGTTGACCACTGTGTTCCAATGGCAAGGGACAACGTTTCGTGCTGTAGCCAGAAATAAATGAAGTAGGTCCCTCTTAACAGAGGCAAGGGAGCCAGGCAGAATAGAGAGAAGAGCTATTTTAGGGGATGCTGTAAGGCCAGTTCCCATTACCTGGTTGTAGATGTCGCAGACCCGAGTCCAAAAAGGCACCAGTAGAGGGCAGCTCCACCAAATGCGTAGGAGGGTGCCCTCTGCGTTCAGGCACCTCCAGCAGGATGAGGACCTATCAGGGAATATTTTATGTAGGAGAGTCAGGCTTCGATACCAGCGGGTTAAGATTTTATAGCCCTTTTCCTGAGCCGAACAGGCCACTGAGAGCTTATGGGTGATCTGGGGACAGCGGGCAACCCTGTCTGGTTACATTCCGGATGGAAAAAGGGACAGGGAACCGTTAACCCGCACATGAGCGGTGGGGCAGTGGCAGAGGGCCATAACTTTATCCACAAACAATTTTGGTAGCCCAACCTGCTCCAGGGTGAGAGTAAGGAAGTCCCAATTGAGGCGATCAAACGCCTTTTCCGCATCAAACGATAAAAGGCAGGCAGGCCTGAAGATTTAGCATAACACGAGTGTTAGCGTCTTGATAGTATTGTTCCTGGCCTCGCGAAATGGGACAAAGCCCACCTGATCCAAGTGGATAAGGGAGGGAACATAGTGACTTAGGCGATTTGCTAGGAGCTTAGCGTATAGCTTAAGATCCACATTGATACGGGAGATCGGGTGGTAATTAGAGCAGAGCCTCAGATCTTTGTCAGCTTTAGGGATGATCGTGATATGTGCTTCTTGCGACTGACGGGTGAAGGGGCAGGATCTGCGGAGATGGCGTTAAAAGTGCAATGGAGCAAGGGGGGGGGGGCATTGCGATATCTTATTGCACTTTTTCAGACACATATTTGCAATAGAGACGTAGGTTTTGTTTGTTTATTGACAGAGCTGGTTTTACACAATGGACTGTGCCTTCTAAACAGACCAAACTGTTTTTTTCACAATGGAGGGGCTGCCCAGTATTGTTTCCCCATTATCCGTATCACAATGGGATGGTGATATGGGGAAGCCTTGTGTAAACAGTCACACCTAGGTTTGGTCAAATCTGGACTACTGATGGCAATGATACAACGCTGCCACCTATAGATGGGAAAGTGAAATGCATGGTATTTTAATTTCATAAAAGTGAAAGGGGCGGCGCCCCCAAGTGGGAGGCCAGTTTTCTCTCAATAAAAGCCAGTTCCTGAAAGGTTGAACAGGGCTTCACAAGACGAGAATTTACAAGAGGATATCACTCTGACCAAGGGAGGACCGCACTCTTATACAAAGGATTTAGCAGAGACTGCAACGAGAAGCCATTTTCCTACGAACGCCTATGTGCCAAGAAGTCCGGTTCAATACGGAATTTGTGGAACCTGCAGCTTGAGCTAAGTACATTTTTTTTAGTGTTTCCTCTCTTAGAAAGCATTACATGTACTAGATAGTATAGTGGGTGCATGTGAATGTTTGTAGCAGCCTGTCTTGTTTATGTATTTGCTTTTTTCCTGTAACTAAGTTTGTACACGCAGCATTTTCACCAAGTACTTTTAAATATAAATTTTTGCCAAGCTTTACAGCTGGGCTCATCCTTGGGATAAGCTTTAAGTCTCTGGGATTTGTAGTCCAGAGCATTACAGGGGGCTAGCAAGTCCTGAAAGTGTTTATAAAAAGGCACCAGTAAAGCCATCTGGTCCCGGGCTTTTTTCAGGCGGGTGGCATGGGAAATAAGGACACCCCTGAGTAGGCATTTGAAGGCTTCCCATTTGACCGGAGGGGCGGTATCATCTGAAGCATGCGTAGCAATAAAAGGTTGAGATTGTGGACTTGATGGCATCTACCATGATAGGATCGCGTAGTAGCGTTTCATTAAGCCACCAGGTGAAAGAGAAGGGTTTAGTATCCACCATATGTCCAGCAGCTGGAGACGGTGCAAGAGGGTCTTGAGACGATTCAGTTGTGACAGAGAAACAGAGGATCTCCCTGAGGAAGAGTCCAAGCGAGGCTCCAAAGGGAAATTAAGGTCACCGCCCAGCACTATATAACCTTCTGCAAACGTCTCCAACCGGCGGAGTACGGCTAAGAAGGAAGGCAACGGAGATTGATTAGGCAGATAGACATTAACAAACGTAAAGGTCTTATGAAAGGTCCCTTTCAGGAAAAGGTACCTACCATCCAGGTCCCGATCAACCTGCAGGAGCTGGAAGGGCATTGTGGAATGAAAACAAATGGCTACCCCCTTGGATTTAGAAGTGGAGTTATTACTAGTATATACCAGGGGGTAATATTGAGAGGACAATCATGGGGCAATGGGGTCCTTGAAGTGGGTCTCCTGTAGGAAGAGGACCTGTGCACGTCTTTTATGCATGGAGTAAGCAAGTTGTGAGCGTTTACATGGCTCATTCAGTCCCTGAACATTCAGGGAGACAAACGTCACAGGTAACATTGGGTGTCAATCCAAGCAGCAGATTACTAGAAATTGTGGTCTGGGGGAGCTCCAGGCACACTGGGAAAGGGAGACAGAAAGCACAAAGACAAGGGCCAGAGAAAGGGAAGAAACGAGATCCACAAACATGAGAGCAAGAAAGACGACATCAAACATACAAACAACCTAAGGGGAAGAACCGAGTCTTCCATTTGGCACAACAGGGTACACCAACCCAGTTGGCTCGCCTATGGGGGGTATGGAGAAACCAAGGGCAACGCGGTTTGCTCCAACTTTAGAACCGGGCATCATAATGAGCAAAACAGTAACGCTAAGCATTCAAAAGACAGTGCCAAACATATAAGGGCAATTGAATGGGCATTCCTTAAACAAGAACAACAACATACAGGTGAAACTCGAATAATTAGAATATCGTGCAAAAGTTCATTTATTTCACTAATGCAACTTAAAAGGTGAAACTAATATAAGAGATAGACTCATTACATGCAAAGCAAGATAGTTCAAGCTGTGATTTGTCATAATTGTGATGAATATGGCTTGCAGGTCATGAAAACCCCAAATCCACAATCTCAGAATGGGAGACCTAGAATCCCAATAGTAAGCAATAGACCATGTACAATATAGGAAGCGGCGGTCCGAAGCCCGGATCCCATAAAACCAGGGATCAGGCCCTCGCGATTCGTCCCTGGAGAACAAGTGCCATCACAAGGGTCCGCCCCCACGGGAAGCAGCCAACCAGGCGGGGAACCCATCTAGGTTGATGGAGATGTGTAGGAGTTGACGTAGTACAGATAGGTTTGTAGCCCTCCATGTAACAACTGATAATTAACCCATCGGGCGGACCCCAGTAAGGCAAGCAAACAGCAAATAATGTAGTATAAATATAATTCGGCTGCATAATAATACATCACCCGTGGGACAATCCCCAGTACGGCCCGATGGTATGAGCAGGGGTAAGGTCCCATGGTCATAGAAAGTCCCAGACTTCCACGTAGTGTTCCTCTTCAGCAGATGCACAGATGATAGGGGACAATCAAGGTAGGCAAGTGCAGGCCCGGCCACGGGACCACCCCCAAGAGGGCCCACTACTCACAAGTGAACCGCCAGGGGTAGCACACATGGGGCGAATGCTGTAGCGGGGGCAAGGTCCACACCCCATTAGTCCACTTCCATCCTCTAGGGCAGTAGGCACAACAAGATCAAGGTGTAAACAGCGGGACGCCCAGGCACAGGGAAAGGTCATAGACCAGATAGTCTCCCAAAGCACGCAAATCAGAGTGACGAGATCCTCATGCAGGGTTGAAGTAGTAGCATCTAGCTGCAATTCTTAAGGCAGGAAAATGCGTGAGGTAGGATCCCTCCTGCACTTCTTAGAATTAGATACTTCAGTCCACTGGGGAAGCGAAGGAACCTCAGGGAGTATGGGAGCTGGTGGGTCCGGCCAGGAGTCCAGTTCCACAGGAGAGGATATTCCCAGGGTAGCAGTAAAGTCAGCAAGATCAGTCAGCGAAAGCAGGATCACCAGCCGGCCATTTTTATGCACCGACAGGTGAAAGTGGTAGCCCCACCTGTAGGGGATTTGGAGATCTCATAGTAGTGCAGTCAGAGGTCGCAGGGCCATGGTGCGGGGTGATCAATCCGGAAAGAAGGTAATAGTTGCTCCGTCAAAGTCAAGTGAGCCACGCTCCCGGGTCTTGGCCATGATTTCCTCCTTCAGTTTATACAAGTGGACCCGGCACAGCACGTCCCTGGGTTGTTGCGCAGAGGGGTTCCTAAACCCAGGGACCCGGTGCACTCTATCAAGGTCGATGGGTTCTGCCGCCCCTCTATTAAGAAGTCTATTAAATATACCTCGGATAGTAGGTTCCAGACTCGTCGTGCACGTTGCCTCCGGCAGGCCGCGGATCCGCACGTTGTTCCTCCTGTTCCTGTCCTCCGCATCATCAATGTGTGTCCACACAGACTGCAGTAGTTTATGCTGTGTCAGAGCAGCCGTTTGCAGGGCTGCGATGGCCGTGCGGTGCACATCCATGTGCAGGTCCAGTGTCCAGCCGGCTATGGACCCCCTTAATCGCCTCATGCAGGCCAGCCACATCCGCCCTGTGCACGTGTTCAAAGCGTGCAAACAGGGCCTCCATAGCCCTCTTAGAGGGGAGATGGTCCAGCAGCTGCCGCACGTCATGTCAAAGAAGCTGTTTATGCCGGCTCTCGGGTTCCGCGTGTGGTCCGACTTGGATCCCTGGGACTTCTTGCTTCGTTTGGAGCCCATGTCGGGAGTTAATGAAGCGGTCAGAGGCACTTTCACAGCGATGCACGGTTCTCTTCAGCAGAGCTAAGGACAAACACGTCCAGCTACCGCCATTAGCAAACTCCGCCCCCCATATTTAGATTGTATACATATTTGGATAGATGTATGCAACTTTACAAAAAACAATGACAGTCTGTTTGGAAAAAAAAAAAGGAAGAAATGCCTTACCAAAACCAGTCTTTACAGGTACAGATGTAGAGGCATGCTGCTATACTTTTTCACAGCCTAACCCAAACATCAATTGTTACTGGTGTGAAGAACAGAAATCTAATGCTCTTTTAGTGGTTTCAAGCACAATTAGGACCAGCTTTTCATTAGCCCATATAAAAACGACAATAGCTTATATAAAGTGTTTTGCTTTATCAAATGCTTTTAATGCATTCCCAAGTCTCGATTTCTAGTCAACAATGTGGTAAGCTGTACAATTATCCAATATCTATTGCTTACTGTATATAACTTCTAGGGCTAAATCAATGTGAGACATCAGACATGAATGCAAATAAAAAAATGGTTATGCTTTATAAAACAGTATTAAAAAGGTATAAAAAAATGGTAAAAAAAATAAATAAAAATGTATTTTAGCTCTAAGGCTCTAACTGGCAGCTACAGATGGAGAAATCTAAACTGTGAGTGTGTTGCCACATAACCTCCTTAGCCTATAAAAGTCAAGTCAATGAGAATGGAGCAAAAAAAAAAAACCTCAGTTCCCATGTTAAAATGTCATCAACTCACATAATTTGTGCTGCCAATCTATATGCTGCATCTTAGAGGATAGGCATAGCGTGCCATACCAAATCAGGAAGCAGACTAGGAGTGTAAAACTAAATACTCACCGGTGCTGCTTATGCTGTAATCTTCATTTTTCCTTCGCATATGGTATATGACAATAACCCAGACCAAAGAGGTTCCCACCACGCAGCAGACAACAACAATTATAACAATGCCCACAGTTGTCCAACCATCTTCTTCATATCCCACAATGTTCTGGGATGAGTCACAATTAGGTGAAGACAGTACATAAAGGTTAATGTGACCTCTTTCAGTTCCAAGGGTATTAGACATAATACATGTGTATTTCCCTGCATCTTCAGGTCCTGCATCCACAATGATGAGCAGCTGATTAGCGGCAGCAAAGAAATGCCGCTCAGTAACCACCAGAGGACCATCATCTTTAGTCCAATTCAAACGTGGAGCTGGGCTTCCCCCTGCTATACACTGCAATACAGCAGTTTCCCCACGAGCAACGGTTCTATCTTCTAGGGGTCTTATGAACGATGGGGTTTCTGAAACAAAAGCAATGGCAACATAATCATGATTCATACCAATTTTCTAGAATGAACAAACAGTGAAAGTGGTTTTTGATTAGGAAAACTCCATTCATCATTACAAAATTGAATGTTAAAACAGAACGAAATTTCAAAAATTTGTCAAGCGTCTGATAGCATGAAATGCTCTGATGAGATTTTTCGTACGAATGTTCATATTAAAAATTCTAACCCTGTATACCCATGATAAAGAATTAACACAGTACACTATGGTATGAATGGGTCCCAAAAGTATCAGTCAATCCAAAACGGATAGTGACACGCATTCTAAAATCAGATTCTTTATTAATCATGAAATCAATAACACAGGATATGAACAGAAACAAACAGAACATAGAATGCTATGCGTGAAACATGTTAGAAGTGCCTGTTCTTCTTTGTTATTGATGTTATGCGTCAATAAAGAAGCAGCTTTAGAAATATGTTGGTTTGCCACCATCTACTTTCCTGAATGGTGTTAAAGGAGAACTATGAGGTGAGTGCTTTTCACTCACCTCATAGTTCTAGCCGACCTGTGACAATGAGACTGTCACAGGTCGGCTCAGTAGATCGGGAGGTGAGCGAACACATACCGGGTTCGCTTGCCTCTCGATCCTGTCACGGCTCTCTGCCGTGACAGGGGAGGGGCTGGATTCCCCCCTCCCCGCTCCGATCCGCCAGCGCTGACTGGCGGAACGGACGGGGGAGGGGGCGGGTACAGCTGGCTCTGCCTCTAGATAGGCAGAGCCAGCTGTCACTCACGCAGCTGGGCGGATCCAGTCATCTACGTCGGGATCCGCTCCGGCTGTGGCGTCTCAGTATACCGCGAGCTGTAGCTCGCGGTATACTGAGCTTAGGGTAACGGGAGGACGCTAGTTTGTGTCTTCCCGTTACCCTAAGGAGAACTATGGCGAAAAACACTGACCCCATAGTTCTCCTTTAACACTGACGAGCCGTACCAGCATCTGACTGTGACGTAAAAGTGTGGACTGACCTGAAGTAACACCATGGTTCAGTGACAAGATGGCACATGAGGGAGAGAGTTAAATCACCTAACAGTTTTCTATATGTCTCAGCGGTTGTGGAAATATGGTCTGAAAGCACTGTGACGACATGGTGATGAGTTTATAAGTTAAATGTGTATTGGTGTTGGGTTTAAGTACGTTATGCTGTGTGACCTGGTTATGAAAAGACTATCAGCACCATCCCTCGTTATCTCACTTTGTACTCTGAAGGAGCTCAGAACAATGAAATTCTGGCCAGGCTCTGCTATGGCTGTCTGGAGCTCGTTAGCAGGGGAAACCCTGTGGTGTTGAGCAGACCGATTGTCTGGGGAAGGCAAGGTGGATGTGATGGGAATATAATCTGATCTCATCACTTGCTGTATAAAAGTTTGTGCAGTTGCTCAATAAATCAGAGTTTGTTTCACCCTACACTCGTGTCTCGACCAGTGACTGGGGAAACTAAGAGCTACAGATCAGCGGGTTGCAATATCTCCTGAGCAAGGAAGAAGACAGCGGCGGACATACTTATCCTGAGTACCGGGGTCCGTCACATTGGTGGCAAGCGGTGGGATGCTCTTCCTTGCCTAAGTAGACATTCAAACCACCAGCGGGACCAAGTTTGCTGCTGACATAGAAGAGCCACAATTGCCTACGGCCATGGAAGCACTGGCCCAGCTCGACAATCCTGGCTCTGCCCAGGATATGCTGTGAAGGAGAGACGCTTTGCGCCAGGAGATCTGGAGGGAGACTCTTTAATTGCAGCATCACTATTGTGGCAAGGTCCTCCCTACATCCGAGGAACGATACGGGCTGCAATGGGACTTGCGTTTGCCTTTCTGGGAGAGCAGCCCCGGGAGGAATGGCTGTCGGAGCTGGATTGGCTGCTCCAAACGGAACTGATGCTGGATGATGGGTATCGGGCACTGCAGTGGTATGTCACCCAATTGTGTCCATGGCTGGAGAACAATGATCCCACAGAGGGCTACGACTTCGGCGGCCAGGTACTTATATTTGAGGCGCTCCAGGAGGATCACAATTTGGGAGTGCACTGGAGTGGAGATGGGAGGACATACGTGATTTTAGGGAGTTGGAACTCCCCAGTCAGCTCGGATTGAGAACTGATCTGGACTTTTTAATTACTCAAGAATGGGAGCTGGAACAGGCATACAAAAGACTGTTCGACACTGCTCAACAGCATGCCCCAGCAACCACAGATGTTTTGGAGCTACTAACCCCAGCTGAAGAGCTGGCATCAGGGCAGAGCATTGCTGACCTCTGCCCAGCACCAAATGCACCTCTTGAGCTCCAGGGAGCCGAAGCAGGTGGCCCCTCTCCCCAACAGCAGGTCAATGCAGTGGAACTACTGACCCCAGCTGAGTAGTTGGCATCAGGACAGAGCACCATGGGCCTCTGCCTACAACAATCAGTGGGCCTTGAGTCTCCGTGCAAGGCCACCAAAATTGCATTTTACTTCCCAGCAGATGAGCTGGCAACAGGACAGAGCGCTGCTAGTCTCTGCCCCGCATCCATAGCCCCCCTGAAGCTCCTGGGAGAGATGGCGGCCAACCCCATTTCGTCGACACCAGCTTCAGATGTGGGGGACCTTATAGATTTGAATGTAGAAGTAGCCGACATCTCTCCCCAGCGTCTGAGTGAGTTCCAGGGAGAGGAGGTAGCTGAACTCTCTCCCCAGCGGCAGACGAAGTTCCAGGGAGAAGAGGTAGTCAACCTCTCTCCCCAGCGGCAGATCAGCAGTCCGGGAGAGGAGGTGGTCGTCCTCCCTCCCCAAGCAGCAGTTTGGAATCCAACAGCAAGCCAGAAATGAAGATGTGGTTTCCCCAACAGGAGTGTTGGCACCAGGGCAGAGCACCACAGGCCTATGTCCCGCACTGTTGTCTGTTACAACCTTCAAGGGAGAGCAGGAAGCTGGCCTCTCTTCCAGCAGGTGGCTTTGGGGTCTGGGAGAAGATACCATCTTTACTTCTCCCCAGAGGCACCATGTTTTTCAGAAAGGCACAGATGACATATCTCCCCAGAGGCAGGACGCCCTGTGGATGGAATATGTGGACTTATGCTGCCCGACAAATGCAGGTCCAGGCCAGTTGGGGGACAGGGACCTAATTAGACTACCTTTGAGGGGGAAGAAATGTCATGGAACCGACCGTGACCTGGGCTCCTGGAGGGGGCTGGCGGCCAGCCTCCTTCCCAGCGACTACGGACCTAGGATTTTGCAGATCCCCCTTGTTCGGTTGAACTGGGTGTCCGGGGCTCATGGACGGCTGTTGCGGTGGAGCCTGGCCCTACAGCCGTCCAATTTGCCAATTCAATACCGGCTCTGGAAACTCAATGGTAATGCTGATGGACTATCCCGCCAAACAGAACTGGAAGGGTGACTAACAGCATGGACATCCCCAAGTGGACCCGTAGAGGGTCTCACCGGGTCTGCCATCTTTTAACTTGGGGGAGCTATGTGACGACATGGTGATGAGTTTATAAGTTAAATGTGTATTGGTGTTGGGTTTAAGTGCGTATGCTGTGTGACCTGGTTATGAAAAGAGTATCAGCACCATCCCTCGTTATCTCCCTTTGTACTCTGAAGGAGCTCAGAACAATGACATTCTGGCCAGGCTCCTGCTATGGCTGTCTGGAGCTCATTAGCAGGGGAAACCCTGTGGTGTTGAGCAGACCGATTGTCTGGGGAAGGCAAGGTGGATGTGATGGGATTATAATCTGATCTCATCACTTGCTGTATAAAAATGTGTGCAGTTGCTCAATAAATCAGAGTTTGTTTCACCCTACACTCATGTCTCGACCAGTGACTGGGGAAACTGAGAGCTACAGATCAGCGGGTTGCAATATCTCCTGAGCAAGGAAGAAGACAGTGGCGGACATACTTATCCTGAGTACCGGGGTCCATCACAAGCACGAGTTACCACATCAACATACAGTTCTGTGCAAAAGTTTTAGGTAGGTGTGAAAAAATGCTGTAAAATAAGAATGCTTTCAGAAAAGAAGTGTTAGTTTATTTTTATCAATGACCCCCAAACATACAGCCAATGTAATTAAGAACTATCTTCAGTGTAAAGAAGAGCAAGTGGTTCTGGAGGTAATGATCTCAACATCGAGTCCGTCAGGGATAACATGGAGACAGAAGAATTTGAGGCTGCCTACATCCACAGAAGATCTAGGGTCAGTTCTACAAGATGTTTGCAACAACCTACCTGCCTAGTTCTAGACACGTGCAAACAAATTGTTTCGCTTTGATTCGGATTTTGCGTTATTTCGTTTTTCGGGTACAAAAATCAATTCGTTTCGGGATTCAGATGAAATTCGTTAGCGGTAGTCTGTACGAATGTTCGTTTACTTTTCGTATTCGTTTCGTTCGCGCAAAGTGACATAAAAAAAACATTTATGTCACTTTGCTGCAACGAAAATTCGTCCACAAACGAAATTGCGTACAGACTACCGCCAACGTATTTCGGCCGAAATGTCATTTTCGGAAATTCAGATTCGTTTTCATTCGTCATTTCTGTTATTCGAAAATTTGGATACACCCAAATCTCAGAATAACGAAAATTCATCCGAAAAACATTTTTTTCCAAAACGAATCGCACATGTCTACCAAGTTCCTTCAAAAGTGCAAGTGTACCTAGAAGAATTGATGCTGTTTTGAAGGCAAAGGGGTTGTCACACCAATTATTGATTTGGATTGCTCTTCTGTTCATTTGCTTTCCATTTTGTTAATAAAAAAATTAACTAATTTCGGAAAACATTCTTACTTTACAGCATTTTTTCACATCTGCCTAAAACTTTTGCACAGTACTGTACTTGCTGCAGCCATCTCAAGAGTAAAATGTAATACAGTGGGG